CAGGCGTGCCTATAGCTGAACCCAGGTAGCGGTTGCCTGTGGCGGTGATGTGGATGCCTGTGCCTTTGAACAGCTGGACAACTTCATCATAGTCATCAGGCTTCACCACGAGCACGGACTTTGCTGGGTTGAGGAAGTATCCGAAATCAGGCCCTCTGTCGTGCAGTTTGTCCCACCAGGTTCGGAGAGGAACGAGTCGGCCACCTGCGGACGAATCGTCCGAATCGTCCGCACACCATAGCTGGCAGGCGCCGGGTGTTACGATCTCCCGAATGAGAGGGACTATGCCGATCGCATACAACGGCATCGCAATGGGGTCGCCCTGTGTTGTGCCCTCATTGGAATAACTACATTCACCATCCACGTACAGATTGCTGGGCTGACGGTAGGTGTTGATTAGAACCGTGGCAAACGAGGGGCATAGGTGCTGCACATTCCATAGGCAGGCGGCGCGATTGATGTTGTTGAACGCATTAGCTGCATCAGCCATGATGATGCCCTGGGTGTCCTCCTGGTCGTACACATCATGCATAGCGTGTATTGCGGCCTCAATACCAAAATCCTGCCCAGCACACAGTTGCAAACCGCCAGCAGCGTACAGTGTACACTGTTTATTTGTTTGTTTTACTAGTAACACTCAAAATCTTCAGCACAATTACAAATCAAACTTCTTGTTGGGAATTATCGATATGCGCGATGTCAAGATTATTCTAAAAAAAAACATGCATGCGCGATTTGCAGTTTTTTGTTTTGTTTTTGTGTTTTGTTTTTTAATTTTTCAAACAGAACATTATTATTGCAATTGAGAGCGTATACAGGAAGGCCATAAGAGATGATAATTTAGGGCAAAATGAAGAAATGAAAGAAAATGATAACACCCAAAAGCGCTCACAAAATACCACTTAGGAGCGAATGCAAGCCTCAGCAACAGCCAAAACAGGTGGCGAGTCCATCTGCATTCTGAGGTTACGGCATCCGCGCAGACACATAACATTGGAGCGGAGCAGTGCGAAGGAGAGCTTACACCTCAGCCAGGACATCAAGCAGCTGTACGGATCACCGGTCTTGGATGACAGCAACAGTGCGATACGCTTGTACAGAGCCTCCGCGTGCTTGCCCATGCCGCCAGTGGTCGATAAAATAGCGGGGACAAATGACGAGTGCTCAATCTCGCGAATGCGCTGCTCATTGCTCCTTCTCTTCTCCTTCTCATACTTTGTGTAGCAGAAAGGAATTGAGGTGGCACGGTTTGATGGCGCATGTGGGTTAAAAACTCGCACATCGATGTAGGTGCGCTCAAACCGGCCACCCCATAGGCCACTTGCAGCGACATCCAGACGTGCTTGATCGGTGTGGATGGCCGTCCGATAGCGAAACTGCTCTCCGGTCACCTGGTGCAGATGCGGTTCCACTGCAACGCTATGGGCCACACGCTTAAGCAAGTTAGCAGAGATGTCGCGGACCTCGTTGTGTCTAATGGAGGGAGCCTCCAGTCGGACACGACAGGGCATGGCCCACAGTAAATGTGGCATCACAACTGCAGGTGGAGGGCAGGCGCTGCGGCAACCAGCCATACCGCAAGTGAATCCCGTCACGGAACTCACCCTTGGTGAGGGTAAATCCATGTCGCTTCAATGGCCGACACGTGAGCCATGAGGATGCACCCTTCTCACTCGCAAGCTTCACCATACGGTCCATGCTGGGGTTCGCCAAGACGAAAGACCGAGCTTCTCCGACGATCTTCTGCCGGGCACTCAATCGAACCTTCTTCTTTTCTTCCGCAATGAGGTCCGGCGCATTGCCCAGGTCGAACTCCTGGCGCAGGATGTTTCCCACTGTACAGTGTACAGTGCACAGTGCACAGTGTACACTGTACACTGCACAGTACACGGTACTGTACACTGTACTGTAGTACTAGTAATAAAGTAGTTATGAAGGCAACGGACACAAGTGTTGTACGGTCAAAAGAAGAGATGTGATCGTATGAGCACACGAACGAAAAAGCGAGGAAATTACAGGAAAATCAGAAAATTATGAGAACATTCGCCTACGAGCCGACTGTGTACATGTACATTTAAATGCATAACAGCAATAATAATAATATTATTGTCTAAGTGAGCAAAATTTGGTACAGTACGTGCTACTGTGCACTGTGCTGAACAACAGTGCTGGCTGTTCAGCACAGTGCACACCGCCGACGTTTCTCTTCCAGGCAGTCTTGTGTTAGTCCTTACTGAAAGAATGCGCTCCTAGTTGCAAGATAAGGAGGCAGTCTTGTGTTAGTCCTTACTGAAAGAATGGGCTCCTACAGTCAGTTTCAAAAAGATTAGCAATCCTGGCGATCGCCCGGGGAGTTTGCCGTCTTACCGTATGCGCGCTCGAGAGCTGACTGGAAAAACTCACTGTGAACTCGAAGAAATAATCCGCGCGAAAGCATAAAAAATAGACAACTCACTCACGTCGGTACATGTACGTCTGGTTTACAACAAACGAGTTCTTCCTCGTATCGATATGGAGTGGACATGTCGAAAGTGTGGTGAATGTTGACGAGCAGGATGGGTTTCGTGCCCAATTTCTTTGAGCTGCGATGCAATTTACTCTCACGATGTGACGAAAACGACATCGACACAGACTCATTCCCAAGGCCATGACTTGGCAAAGCTATCCGTGTGACTTCGACGACATTTTGAGAAAAGCAGACGCCTGTGAAAGCTGATAGAAGACGGCGTTGACTCCTAAATTCAAATAAATTGGCGATCTTGAAATACTAAAATAATTCTCAAAGAGAAATCGATCGATCGATGTGCCGTTGTATTCAACAACACGTAGCTACAGCGCAATGACTTCCGTGTTCACGCACACCGTTTCAGTGTTGTGGGTGTGTTCACATGGCGTCAACCAGTCAAGTGTCAGTAAGTTCGGCAGGAAACGCGAGCTCCAACAACAAGTCGTTTGGCGCAGCCACCTTCTTTGGCTTGTACTTTTTGTACCAGCGTGATCACCAAAACAATGAAAAAAAAGTTTGACTTCAAGATAGATTGGATTTGAACTCACAACTTCATGGTCAGCAGACAGCATTCATAACCACAAGGCCAAAAAGGAGAGGATAAATCGTGGGTTTTGATAAAAAATCGATACTGACATCCAGGGCAAATTGTAAACCATGGGAAAAGGCCGGAAACCTGGCCGAATTTCTAACTCCTTAACGGCTGGTCCAATTGTTCCGAAACCTTCACAGAACAATTTGCCGTGTCCTAACAAGCCATTCTATGTACTTTGTTGTCCAAATTTCTCTTATCTTCATACTTTTTAAGACCAAAACCTGATTGCTAATCTTTTTGAAATGGACTATAGTTGCAAGATGAGTTAATTGTTTGCTGCGACCCGGCTGTATTTGAACCGGACGATCCACCAAAAATGCGATACGGGTCTATCGGTGGCCAGTATGACCCTGGGTTCACGTGCGAACGGACTTTGCTGTGCGTAGAGTGGAATCTGCGTTGCGAGGGAATGTTCTATTGCTCGAATGCCCTGTTGATGACATCACCAGTGCAGTACATGTAGTTTTACACAGAACCAGTGAGTGCGTTCGATTATGCCCGGGAATCGTTTCATGAATCCATTCATGAATCGCCCCAGGCTATTCACAACACTCCATGTGAATAGGGTGAATGGATTCCGAATCGATTCCAGGGATCATGACATGAAATCGAATGGCGAGATTCCATTCATGAATCGATTCAAATGCGTAACCAAACGCCCTCACTGGTTGAGAGTGTGCTAGAGAAATGAGGAAACTATCCTTGTGCCAAAGTGACCCGAGGGGCATTCAAAGATGCCTATGAGATGCCACGTCCAGTGCAATCTGGGGAAGAAAAAGATAATGTGCGTTACCGAGAGCTGGGTTCTTTGCTCATACTTGACATCGCCTGTGTATAGGCAGTGCACCATTGAGTATTGACGTCATCCAAAGTATATTTTTAGCAGGGCAACACATCGCCAATGAGCAGATTACGCTCGCTGCAGAGCACAGTCTGTTTGGATTCTTGTTCAGTGTGACTTTGGCCATCAGTTGAGCACTACCCGATTTTCGTGTGTCAATATTGTCCTACCCGCACTGCTGTTTTTCATTCATGTGTGCATAGATGATGGACGTACCTCTGGATGCCATCAATGAAGGTGCGCTATCTGTAATCCAGCAACTGATATCGATTAATGAAGGTGAAGAGCGATTTATGGACCAGTCTAAAGCTCAGGTACGTGCTCCTACTACTTACTAGTACTGCAGGCTGCTGTCATTTTTGTCCAGATCTACCCGGTTTTGTCTTGCTCAACCCTGCTCTGCAAACAGCTACATCGAAGTGTAGGCCTAACGGCGAAAATTCCGGTGGGCTGGCGTGAGTGAAGCAATTCTGAACTTTAGGCGAGACCGAAAAAATTGAGATTCCCGGGCCCTCCCGCACCAAAATCGAGCCAAAGCCAATTTTTTTCTTTTTTCTGAACAGTTCATACATGTACAGTGCTGATCGTGTGAGTAGATCTGTGACGTAGAGTCACACAAACCCGAGCTTGTATGAAATACAGAAAAATAGAAAGGGTTAACCGCGTACCTGTTGCCTGTAAAAAAATGAATAAGAATTACCGGAAAATGCTGTAACAAAAGTTCAACATGGCATGCACACATAAAGTCATGTACACTCAAACGCCTCTTATCCGGACGCCTCAGATACGGGCACGTCTCTCTACCGGCCACCCTCAGCTAGAGTTCCTATGGCAAAAATGCTTCGAATTTGGGGGGTTGAACTTTTTTCCCGAATGCACAAGTGCTTATTTGTCATTGCCAACCTGTGTAATCCATACATTTTTATCCATGGATTAGTTTTGTAACCTGAACATGTGCAGTATGCACCAAAAAAACTTCTTCAAAAATGAAATGATACATGGTAGATGAGTTATCCTGAGATACGGGCAAATCTGAGTTACGGGCAGTGCCCGGTCCCAAGGTGCCCGGATAAGAGACGTCCGAGTGTACATACATGGGAAAAAAATAAAAAATAAAATTCGCCGGCCCGCACCAATTTCACATGGGTCCTGCCCGGGAATCTTGATTTTATTTTTGTCTCGCCTTAGTAAGGAATGACGCCGCACAAAGGACTCGTGCTTCTTGTATGTTGCCTTGTACCTCACACAGGTGGTGAGCTTTGTGTTCTGGTCAACATCCATTGATGCATATGCTGATATTAGGTTTGCTTCTGACAGCAGCGGAGATCGTATTGCAGCTGTCTGTGATCGTGATAAGAGTGTACGAATCTCTGCTAAGCATATGACAGCACAGCACCGTTACACTCGCATCTGTGACCGACTAGCTGCTGCCCCAGCCGCGCAGAGACACTCGAGAATGTTGCCCGATGAGATAATGTGTTGCTACGCGTGCATGGTATATGTGCGTGTTGGTGTGCGTGTCGGCGTTCACACACTGTCTGTCTGGCGCAGGACTGCATGCTCATTCACTATTGGCGTGTGGTGAAGCATGCACAACTGAACACCAGTCTTAAAGCCAGCCAAGAGCTTACAGAGATCTACGTTAACAGTAAGTGCTCGGTATTCTGCACAGTGTCTAAGGTCTGTTTTGATGGTATGTACACTGTAGATGATGGTATGTACACTGTGTTGATGGTATGTACACTGTGTTGATGGTATGTACACTGTGTTGATGGTATGTACACTGTGTTGATGGTATGTACACTGTGTTGATGGTATGTACACTGTGTTGATGGTATGTACACTGTGTTGATGGTATGTACACTGTGTTGATGGTATGTACACTGTGTTGATGGTATGTACACTGTGTCGATGGTATGTACACTGTGTCGATGGTATGTACACTGTGTTGATGGTATGTACACTGTGTTGATGGTATGTACACTGTGTTGATGGTATGTACACTGTGTCGATGGTATGTACACTGTGTTGATGGTATGTACACTGTGTTGATGGTATGTACACTGTGTTGATGGTATGTACACTGTGTTGATGGTATGTACACTGTGTTGATGGTATGTACACTGTGTTGATGGTATGTACACTGTGTTGATGGTATGTACACTGTGTTGATGGTATGTACACTGTGTTGATGGTATGTACACTGTGTTGATGGTATGTACACTGTGTCGATGGTATGTACACTGTGTTGATGGTATGTACACTGTGTTGATGGTATGTACACTGTGTTGATGGTATGTACACTGTGTCGATGGTATGTACACTGTGTTGATGGTATGTACACTGTGTTGATGGTATGTACACTGTGTTGATGGTATGTACACTGTGTTGATGGTATGTACACTGTGTCGATGGTATGTACACTGTGTCGATGGTATGTACACTGTGTTGATGGTATGTACACTGTGTCGATGGTATGTACACTGTGTTGATGGTATGTACACTGTGTTGATGGTATGTACACTGTGTCGATGGTATGTACACTGTGTCGATGGTATGTACACTGTGTTGATGGTATGTACACTGTGTCGATGGTATGTACACTGTGTTGATGGTATGTACACTGTGTCGATGGTATGTACACTGTGTTGATGGTATGTACACTGTGTTGATGGTATGTACACTGTGTTGATGGTATGTACACTGTGTTGATGGTATGTACACTGTGTTGATGGTATGTACACTGTGTTGATGGTATGTACACTGTGTTGATGGTATGTACACTGTGTTGATGGTATGTACACTGTGTTGATGGTATGTACACTGTGTTGATGGTATGTACACTGTGTTGATGGTATGTACACTGTGTTGATGGTATGTACACTGTGTTGATGGTATGTACACTGTGTCGATGGTATGTACACTGTGTTGATGGTATGTACACTGTGTTGATGGTATGTACACTGTGTTGATGGTATGTACACTGTGTTGATGGTATGTACACTGTGTTGATGGTATGTACACTGTGTTGATGGTATGTACACTGTGTTGATGGTATGTACACTGTGTCGATGGTATGTACACTGTGTCGATGGTATGTACACTGTGTCGATGGTATGTACACTGTGTTGATGGTATGTACACTGTGTCGATGGTATGTACACTGTGTTGATGGTATGTACACTGTGTCGATGGTATGTACACTGTGTTGATGGTATGTACACTGTGTTGATGGTATGTACACTGTGTTGATGGTATGTACACTGTGTTGATGGTATGTACACTGTGTTGATGGTATGTACACTGTGTTGATGGTATGTACACTGTGTTGATGGTATGTACACTGTGTTGATGGTATGTACACTGTGTTGATGGTATGTACACTGTGTTGATGGTATGTACACTGTGTTGATGGTATGTACACTGTGTTGATGGTATGTACACTGTGTTGATGGTATGTACACTGTGTTGATGGTATGTACACTGTGTTGATGGTATGTACACTGTGTTGATGGTATGTACACTGTGTTGATGGTATGTACACTGTGTTGATGGTAT